AAAAAAAAAAAGGTACCAAACAAAAAATCATGAGAGATCCACTTTAATTAATGACGTTTTACATATTTGCATTATAACATTATAATTACAGTACATTTTACTTGATAATATCCCGGACAAAAGAATTAAAATTCGGGCTGAAATTGTACTTTATAATATTAAAAAACGCCTTAAATAACAAACGCAGTATGACGCTAAAGAATAATAATAAACAAAAACAAAAAGGTTTTAACCGGATTAACCCCACAAACTTATGATTTAAAACTTGAATATCGCCAAATTCGCCAAATTGAACTTTAAATTTGCCAACTTGATTGCCAATCACATGCCATTTTTTGTACAGTAAATTAGGTTTTTTTGATCAATCTATTTGTTTTTGTTTATTTATTAATAATAATAAAAAAAAGATATGATTTTATCAAGAAAACACAAAACGGTAAAACTTTTTTTAAAATTATTATTGTTATTTTACTTATTTACTAAAAAGAATTAAAAATTTTATTGTTCTCATAAAGTTACTGGCCATGTTAATCTTACGTGTAGTACGGGATGTACGCCAACGTAAAGTGGAATCTTGAATTGGTGAGAATTTCACGTGATTATTAATTCTTTTTTATTAGAGATTTCAACCTTTCCACTTTTAAAAAGTCCCATGTAATAAATAATAATACAGGACTTTCGGGCACCTCAATTGATAGACTATCAGAAAGTTTCAAAGAGTTCGGCCTTCGGGTATTTCCTATTTTGATGAACAAAAAATCTCTTTTTTTTATCCAATGATTCAATGATCTTCAAAATTGATAGAAAATGCTTAATCATTAGTATAACAAAAATAAGTTCACAGCAGAATTATTATTATGCAAGAAATTTTTAATTGTCCTTTAAACTTTTTTTTTCAAGTTATCATTATCAAATTCGCTGTTTAAAATTTGTCAAACTATAAAAAAAAAAGTCATGCTCTCGTTGATATGATATTTGAACACAATGACAATACGATATCTGATATACATATACATATTATACAAATATAAAAACATATACTCCATATTACAATTTACAATCATTTATATTTCACATGTATTTTAATAAATCTATCTTTATGGATGATAACAATTATAATTAGTTAATTTACAATACTACTTGATGAACACGCGATACAATGAATTCATATGATGTACGGAATGTTGCCACAATTATCGTTAATTTCGGCCAAAATGATCATCAATCTGCTATATGAGCCGAAATTAATTATAGAGATCTGCGATATTTTAAATTAGAGAATTATTTACGTAACTAATTTACCTCAGCATCACCGTCACTTTTTCCGTCTATGTGGCTTTTGGCCTGCATTACGGCATTAAGAAATTGGCTATACGAATAAAAGCAAAAAAATATGATATCATTAAAAAAAACTGTTCCTAAAATACTTATATAAAATAGGAAATGCAAAGGATGTACTGTAATATGGTCTATGATCACATGATAGCTTAAATACATGATTATCTATATTTATCATTTAGTAAATTTAGATATATAATGTATAAATCATAATAAACTTTTTTGGCCAAAATCACCTTTTTTTGCTAAAATTCAAAAAATTGTTTTTACAAATATCTTGGCATCCAGTGATCTAATTTTAATCATATGGGCTGATTTGTTTACTCTGCATTAAGAAGAATTATTAATTGATTTTCACAATTTTCGTTACTCAAAATTGTTTTGTAATACCAAAATATCATATAAAAGATGGTATCATAATAGATATTTTCAAACAATAAAAATAATTATTTTATGTCAAAATTTGTATTACCATCTTTAGACGCAAATATATCAAGATTCACTGATCCGTTTTCTATAATTTTAGGCTCGTTGGAAAGCCCTTGTTCTGGACTTTATAGGCGAAAAAAGAGCTCGCCGATTGAATCATTAGATCCAGAGATATTTACGTTTAAAGTTGAGGTACGNCAGCGCAAAAGCGATATTACTTCTTTTTTGACTTCTCCCTCTCCAAATGCGGCATCTACTCCCTCAGAATGACTGTTCTCAGACGCGGGAAATCTTTTAACTGTTAAGAGAACATGAATGAAACCTGAGTTATTTAGTCGTGTTATGTTCTTAAAACGGAATAGTCCCCATTTTGCTAATATTCACCCAGCTCAACAATTAACTACTACTCCTATTGATGTTTAAACTATACCTTATATAAATTACACGAATAAATTCATGCTTTTGAGATAAATTTTATTTTTTTTATATTTACTTTTTTTTTTTTTAATCGCAGCGCATTTGCAGTTTTATTAGAATAGATATAATAAGAATTCTAAATACAAAGTATGTATCAAATAAAAGAAACTATTCTAATATCATTAAACTACAAACCACTCGTCATACATATAGTACCCCACGTGTGCACTGTCGAGTGATCATTTGACTCCGTAGGTAAACATCATTTATAACACGTCATCTTAGCCTTAAGGCCCTATCTTCAACGTCAGGTGATCACGGGACCCACTACGCTGCCATTTTTTTACTATTTCTATGTTGCATGTATTTTCTGGACTTCCATGAAGCAGGTGTTCCTTTTGTAAACCAATAATACAAGTGGTCCTTACATCGCCGCAAACCATCTTTAATCTTCGATAATCTATGTATACGTTTGTCAGGGAAGGGTTGTTCGTTATGTTCTTCTTGTGGATTGGCGCCAATATCAGATGTTCTTGATGTTTTTCGTTTGTCTGATGCTTGAATATTTAAAGATGTTTTTAAGTCAATCATTTTCTTGCAACGTGGCTTCCAGACATGTTCCCTAAAGGCTGCGTGAAAATGTTTAATAATTTTTTGTGATAAGATCGAAGCTATTTTCCTAGAGGTGAGACCGCGCAATTTTTTGATGATTGTGTGCAAAATTAATCCTCACAGCAGTTCGCGTCTATTCCTTTGTTTGAGTTCAGGAAAGGCCAGATCTCTGTATTCGAAAATAGTATGTTTGAGCTCGTTAATGTTGAAAGACCTTTTTTTTGGATTCATCTACAATATTTCCAAATTTTGTTCGTTGTTGATTCTTCAGCGATCAAAAATCCATGTCCAAGCCCTTCACACGTTACTAGATGATCCAAAGATTCATCGTGATCCAGGCAAGTAGGGTAAGGAACATCATCATATGTGTCATTACGTTTTCTAAGATTGTTGATAGTAGGTAATAAATCGTTCGAGGTCTTTATAAAATGTAATAAGGTGTTGTTAGTATTGAAATTATCGCATCGGCTTTTGTTAATACTGCTAAGATAATGCCAATGAGCGTCCCAATCCCATTCTTGTAAAGTTTTGTATAGTTGTTTATCA